GGCCCAACAAAGCTCCCAGTCACAAGATGGTCAGCAGACCCCAGTGCGGGAAGGGCTCAACATTAGTGGCCAAAGTCGTCTTCCTCCTGAACCTTTTAGGGCCCTTGAGGACCTTCCACATGTGGCCTGCTGTCAATCTTGACAGCATTTCTTCAACCTGTACTATTGCTTTGCTTAAATGAGTGTTTCCTTGCTACTTTGCAATTTGTGTGAGCTTTTAATTCTTTGAGTAAGAAGCCAAGAGCCTGGAGACACCTGGTCCAGACACTGACCACCACCAACAGTATGACAGGAATGTTATAGTACATATCTAAGATCTTGGTTGCCAGCCAATGGGATTTCTGATTGGATCCTGAGGGTTCTGAGCTCATCCTTGGCTTACTCACTGAGGGCTTTCTAATTGATTGGAAGGTAATGGCAGCTCTATTTGGTGAAGCCTACTACTTGAGGAAGCTGGTTCCTCTTGTGGGCTAGATCTTAAGCCCCACCCCCTTTCTGTCAGCATACTGTTCCAACATGATTCTGCCTCACCACAGAATAGCAGAGCAAAGTGACCCTGGCCCGATAAATCTTCAACCTTGAGCCCCCCAAAAACATTTCCTCCTTTTATTTGTTCCTTTCAGGTATCTTATCACATTGGTAGAAATGCAACATCTGGGGGACTTAATTGTTCCTGGTGTCTAGGTCTCAGCTCCTCTTATTCTGTTTTCTGTTATTAGTGATACAATACCACAGACTAAGTTGGAGGCTGAAAGCCCACACATTGTGACTGGCTCTTGTGATTGACAGTTTTCTTGTTGACAGCATCCCAAGGTGGTGCAGGTAACAATGTTGAGATAGGGACTGTCTTATGTATGTATCCTCTAATCTTTCTCTCTCCTTCTAAAGCCACCGATACAATTGGGAGGGTTCTGCCTGTAACTGTATTCAATCTTAACAAACCCCCAAAAACCCAACCCTACAATCCAAGGTTGGATTCAATCTCGAGCCTGTGAATACCTCACACTTTCAACAAGTGCCAGAGGGGCAAGCATTTAAAGTACAGCTGGAATGTCAGAGGCTGGGTGCTAGAACAGAGGGAGCCCATTTATGTAGGCCAGACTTTAATGGGGCCCTTGATAAAGGTCTTTTGAATGTGTCCAGTTTTTATTTTTCAGCGAGGGTCCCAAGACAGAGGAAACCGGGTCAAGGCTGCAGCACCTCTGGAGGAGCAGGGCCTGGCTCTTGGGTGTTCACCCCACCCCCACATTTGTGCTGAGTCTACTATGGCTGGCTTATTTCCCTCAAGATGATGCTTTAAAAAGCTCAAGTAAACAGCCTTTCATAATACCCATGTAGGCGTGTTTATAGGCACATGTGGGTGTCTGTACACGTGACTGTCTGTGAGTAAGTGCTGTTGTTTTTTCAGAGTAAATATCCTTTGTAAAATGAGTCAGAAATATACAGATAATAGATTTTTAGGTTAAAATTTTGTAGATGACATTTTGGTCAGAGGTATAAAACCTGACTGTGGAAAATTAAAGGACAGAGATAACACACTTCATATGGCAGAGCATCAGGGTGTTTGGTTTATTTTGCTTCGTTCTCATAGTTGTAGTTATCTCTGTGACATCTACAAGAAAAAAATGACATTTCAAGAGACACCTGAGAAGGCTCCTCCATGCCTCTCCTGTCCCTGTTTTGTCATAGCCATAGCTTGGAATACAACAGTTCTACAAAACATGTCCCACAGTAGCCAGCCTCACATGACATAGCCTCTCAAGGAGAAAATAGGCAGAAAGACCAGAGCAGGCCTTTCTCAAGACACAGACTGCAAAGGGTTTTTTGTTTGTTTGTTTTTTGTTTTTCTCAAGACAGAGTTTCTCTATATTTGAACCTCTGTATTGCTTTGGAAGTTGTCCTGGAACTAGCTCTGTAGACCAGGCTGGTCTCAAACTCACAAACATCTGCCTGCCGCTGCACCACCAACAGCCCGAAGCAAAGGGGTTTTAAAGTAAGATTCCCCATAATATGACAAAACCCGTCAGAGTCCACAACTGATGGGATAAAGAAGGACCCACACACACATCTGCAATCAAGCTCAAGGCAGTTTCCACAGGGAAGCCCTGATTTGCCTATCCCAACCACAAGGTCCCCAGCCTCCATCCCAGGAGATGTAAACCACCAGGGAATCTTCTAGAGGATTGGGTGTAATGGTTCCTGACACCATTACTGACACTTCCTGTCCAAGCCACATGGCAGGCTACTGAGACTGTTGTTTTCCTGTTCTCAGATGTGGAAAGTTGGCTGAAAGAAGCCAATTAACTTGCCTGGTTCACAGTGCCCACCCCTGGGAAAATCTAAGCAGAAGCCAAGGTTCTTCCTCCTAGCCAGGATACACCCTCAGCTCTAAACCCTGTAACTCCTCACACAGTCCAGGTGCTTGAACCTCAGACCTAATCTGGCACACCTTGTCCCTTGCCCAGTCTTTCGATTGGGAATCATCCAGCAATCTGTGCTTTCAACCTAACTGGCACGTTCCCTCTTTGCTCTGGCTGGCCACCGCCCTCACATTCCCAGGGCTTATTTTCCTAAGAACATGCAAGTGTCAGGGTATGCGATGTTTTAAAAGTTCACTTTCCAATACTTGGCAACTTCAGTTTCTGTATAGTGCTCAGCTAGTTGTTGACAACTGACACATTTGTATTCACAGATGCGGTTCACTACAGTCACTTGTAAGTCACATCTATGCTGGTCCTGTACCTCCAGTCGCTCTATTTGGACTGGACAAAGGGATTCCACTAGATGATAAGGCATCAGAACTAATGTTTTTGGTCCATCAAAAACATCACTCTGCCATTTGGAGCTTTTTAAAAAAATCCCTAGCCTGGTTTCACAGCAAAAAAACCCCACGGGCCATAGCTAGCTCCATAGCTGCACCCAGAAAGAAACTATGTTGCAATAAACCACCAAAATTGAGGCCGTTCATTACTGCAATATAATCTAGCAAAAACTGCCATGGGAAATCAAAATCTAGGAGTTAAAACTGGGAGGTCACCAAAAGGTCACGCCGAGAAAGCATCTTGTTCTCTGGGGTCTAAACAGGTTTAAGGACACTAACTCATGGACATGACTATTGCTGCCTGCTACCCACTCCCTCCAAGGACCTGCCACTACACCTGCAAACTCTACCCATCCCTTAAACCTCATCATTTGTCTGCTCACACTCTGTCTTGGGAGCCAGTCACCCCCCAGAACTTCTCTACCTCCTCGATGCCCGGCTTCCTGGTAAGCTACTTAGCCTCTCTCCCTTTCCTATTGCAAACTTCCTCCAGTCATCATGCTGCCTGGGGCTGTCTAGGATCCTGCTAGACACTTGTTCCGGGTTTACATCCAGCCTTTGGGAGGTTGAGAACTTACACAACTTGGAGGCTCCGTTTTAAAAACAGGAATGAGCGGGGGCCTTACATTTAATCCAGCAGAGGCAGGCAGATTTCTGTGAGTTTGAGACCTATCTAGTCTACATAGTCAATTCCAGGCCAGCCAGAGCTAGAAACTGAGACAACCCACCCACTCAGGAATACAAAACTATAATCACAAAATGAAGTACAGGGTCTTGAAGGATCCAGTCTGTGTGTGTGAGAGAGAAAGAGCAGGAGCCCCATGCTCTGGTCAGGTCACTTGCTGAGTGAAGTGAGAACAGTAGGTGGTATGTAATCCCCAGGGGACAAGAAACCTGTGCTGAGAATAAATTAAGTATCTTCCTTCCAAACGACGGCAAATGTTACAAAACCGAATCCCCTCACTCTTTGGGTTCTGGAAAACTGCTCACTGTAAGAGCTGTCCCTTCCCCGTGTGACCTAAATAAAAGGCAGTCCAAGGTCAGATGTCTTGCCTGTGAATTCCTGCTCCTCACCAAGCCCATCACCACCAACGGAACCCATTACCCAAGCCATGGCTAAGTTCTTCTCTCCCCAGGCAGAGGGGGCCGTGGCTCACCCTCTCTAAGAACTTGTTCCCTGGTACAGCCCAAAAGCCACACTCTTAACATTTTGTGCTGACCCAGGAGACTCACATAGACTATTCATTAATGCTCCTAATAACACCTGACCTTAGGCTTGGCTTTTGTTGGCAAGAGTCAAAGCAGGCTTCTCCAAGAAGTTTAAACAGACACGACAGTGGTTGAAGTAGGATTTGGGGTATTGGCTTTTTTTTGGGGGGTTATAGTTATTTTTATCCACGAGAGAGAAAACAGAACCGTGGGTGTGTCTGTATTACCTAGACTTGGGTGTCCAACCTTTTGACAGTGTGACACAATGTATTATCCACTACGCTTATCCTAGGGAATCATGATATTTTTTAATTGCAAAAAACAAAAAACAAAAACAAAAACAAAAACCCAAACCCTCATGTTTTAAGTCTGCTATGACTTCGTGTTGAGCCACACTATACCTATCCTTGGATACGTGCTGCCCATGAGCGTGGAATTGGACACTCTTGGCAAAGCAAACTAAAGGAGTCAGAGAGCAGGAACAGAAGGGGTAAGTTTGGTTAGCCCTCCCCATCCAGTCCGCAGCTGGGCTTCACCGAGCTCCCGGTAGCAAGGGGTGGGGCAAAAAGGCATGGTCCTCACTTTAGTCTGGAGGGACTAGGAGGGTAGGATGCAGAGGTGGGCAGCATGAGGAGGAGGCGTGGCTTTGGGGGTGGGCGTAGGGCACGAGGTGCAGCAAGTGAGATCGGTCAGGTGGGCCGGGTCGTAAGGGGCGTGTCCCTTAAAAGGGGGTGCTTAATGCTTGGGAGCGAGCCAGTCGACCAGGAACTTCGGGCGTCTGGGCTGCAGCGTGGGGACTTCCTGGGCCAGCGCGTCGGGGGCGTGTCCATCAATCAGGTCCGCAGGGACTTGAGGGTGAAGGGAACTGGAGCGAGGGGAACTTTTCTGGGCGGGGCTATAGGGGCGTGTCCGCCAGGGGCTCGGGGGCGTGGCTTCAGGGGTTACCCGGCGGTGCTCGCCAGATTGGCGGAAGCCTTCTTGAGTGAAGCGGCGGTGGTAGCAGTCGGTCGGTCAGGCAGCTGAGGCGGCCCTCGCGCGCAAAGGCTGCCGGGAGGCTGTGGAGTCCTGGGCAGCGCGATGGCGTCGGCTGTGGCTCGCGGCGCGCTCCCTGCCTGGGTCTCCGTGCTGGCTCATGGCCTGGCGCTGTGGTGCCTGTGCGGGGCTGGTCCGCTGTGGAGGTGAGCGCCGGCGCGGTGGCGAGCATGCCCTCAGCTCTGGAGGCTGGGTTCCAGCCGGAGGATGATGCCCTTCCTCTTTTTAAGTGCTGCACCCCCTCCGCCCCTCGCACCTTAGTTCTCTCTCTGGGATGCACGGGCTAGCTCTGATCATCTTTGCTTCAATTCTGCCAGGTTAATCACGGGACATATTCTGACTTTTTCCCCTCCTCCGCCTTGTAACAAGTCTGTTTAGTAAAAGCCTTTGATGTTTACACTACTGGAGCGGAAAAGAGAGGGCTTAGTTGCTCGCAAGAAGTACTTACTATGTTCCCAGAGAGTAACTGAAAAGCAGTTGCATTTGTTTGCTTTTATAGCTATTTAAGGTAGGGCCCATTCCGGAGCGGGTTGTGGTGTGCGGTGTGTGTATGTGTGTGTAAAAGTTAGTCCGTGTCTAGGAGTGTGATCTTGGAGCCCTACTGCTCGCACGCAGACCTGTCCCTCGCAGCACAGTTGGTGCCTGTGAACAGCTAGGGTGTAGACAGTACTTGGAGCAGTGAGCATTAGCTGAGGACCTTAGGCTGCAGTGTGCGGTTCTCCTATAACCAGCCTAATATGTGCAGCTGAAAGAATGATTAGGCATAGGATTAATTTAAACACCAAGGCTAGGTGAATCCATTGTGTTGCTGGGGTCTCCCTTCAGCGTCTGTATCTTTCTCCTTGAGTATTGGAGTAGGTGAGGCCTGCCATCTTTTATTAGACAGATGTACCTTCTTTTTGTCTGAATTACAAACAGAGATTGTTTGGTTGAGGTTTTTTCTAAGGCTGCTGTCTTAACTCCCTGGCTCAGTGAGAAACTTTGCAGGTAAATTTCTGCACTGGAGATGGCCAGAGCTTTAGCTTTCAGTATGGCAGTTGTCAAGATTCCCAGGAAAACTACCCTAATTCTGCCTAAGGGTATACCACCAGTGCCATGATGAGTCCCAGCCGGTCCCATATCCCCCCCCACCCCTTGCTTAAACTCTGCCTCTAACACATGGACTGTTGGGGACAACTGCACTACAGTGTCACAGTCCCTCTGTGAAGTCTCTGATTGGGTGGGTGAGGGGCTCAGCTCATAGGCTTGTGATATAAGCACTTCGGTGTGCATACTGCAACCCAGGTAACGTGTGACGAGGCATACAGCACATACCGTACCTTAGCTAACGTGTAACAAGGCTACTTACCCAGGTTAGGCTGTGGCTAATGCACAGGACCAGGGATCATGCACAGGCCAGGCTCTAGGTAACATTCATACACATGGTGGTCTCTGAAGTGGCAGCCCGTGATCAGGGTGGTAAGTGGAGCTAAACTCTGAATAGGATGTTGATAGTACTTTAGTGCTGTTTCAGGCCATGTTTTGTTTTGTTGAATGAACTGGAGGGAAAGGGTTAAGTTTTCAGGGCCTCAGGGGTTCACAAAGACAGCTAAGGGATTATGAGTCGGTGTTTATAAACCACTCAAACATCCAGAAATGGCAACCTTCCAGCAGGCCCTGTCCCACCTGTCCTCCTTCCTCCACTGCGTTTGTGTTCTCCCTGACACACAAATATGTGCCATGCTATATATGTTTTTTTAGGGTGTCCTTTGCCTTCCTCTATGGCTTGTACCTCAGGAGGTAGGGGACTTTGTTCCTGGTAGTATGTCTAGTCCCATTGACTCTCCATGTTGAAAGAGTGGTTGATTGGATGGGTGAACTTTTGCCACTTTAAAACGTTGTTGAAAAATACATTTGTCTTTTAACAGTGGCAGCCACGAGTGGAAAAAACTAATTTTGACCCAGCACTGGCCCCCCACAGTATGCAAGGTGAGCTCTGTTTTGACTGGCTCTTTTGATCCAGTAAACTTGTATGAGTTGGTTTGTATGTGCAAGTGCCTACCTTGTATGCCAGATGTATTAAGTCAGTGAGGTGACTGTAGTATAACTGGACCTCCTGACAGGTGACTTACATGTGGTGGATTCTGAGGGTGGTGTGGCTTAGAACGTTGAAGTACATTCTCTCTCGGGACTGGAGCTGAAAGCCTGAAATGAAGGCATCAGTAGGACTAGTTCTTGGGACTGTTTGTTCCACCCTCTTGCCCAGCTCCTACTAGAGGTGACAGCCCTTGGTGTCCTAGACTTATACACTCACCACCCCACTGTCTGCCTTCTTCATGTGGTGTCTTAGTTATGTTAGTTTTTATTTGCCATGCTAAGACACCATAATCAAGGCAATTTGTAGAAGCAAGACTTTGTTTTTTTTTTTTTTTTTTTTTTTGGGGGGGGGGGGTCGGGGGGGGGGGGGGGTTTTTTTAGGTTGGGTCTTTTTTTGAGCTTGCAGTTTCAGAGAGTTAGAGTTCAGGACCGTCATGGAGCGGGGAGCATGGTGGCCAGGTGGCCAACAGGCCTGGTGCAGGAGTTGTAGCTGAGAGCTCACACCTTGAGATACAGATGAAGGCAGAGAGAGGTACAGAGAATGGCATGGGCTTTTGAAGCTTCAAAGCTCACCTCTGGTGGAGTAAACCTCCTTCAATAAGGCCACACCTCCCAGAGAGCTCCACCAACTGGGGAGTATTCAAATATATGTGCTTATGGGAGCTAATCTCATCTAACCTCTCACACATAGTATCTCTGTGTGTATCTGACTGGGCGCTAGTCTTGTTGATAGTTTTTCTGAAAACCTATTTGAGTTTAAAACCTGAGGCCTTTTAATTATGCAGCAGACAGGACATTACCCAGCAGCTTTGATCTAGTTTGATCATCTCTTGCCAGGTTGAGAGCGTTCCTGCTTTTTGTCTCTCCTTGAGCTTGGAGTAGTGAGGTTTTCTTTTTTATTTATTATTTCTTTTTATTTTTTTTTTAATTAGAAAGAAGATTACTTTACATGTCAATCCCAGGTCCCTCTCCCTTCCCTCCTCCCCTACCTCCCCCTCCCCCCCAACTAACATCCTACCTATCCCATACCCTTTCTGTTTCTCAGGGAGAGTGAGACCTTCCATGAGGGATCTTCAAAGTCTGTCATATCCTTTGGGATAGGGCCTAGGCCCACCCCCTTGTGTCTAGGTTCGGGGAGTAGCCCTCCATGTGGGATGGGCTCCCAAAGTCCATTCCTATGCTAGGGATAAGTACTGATCTGCTACAAGGGGCCCCATCGATTTCCGAGGTCTCCTTACTGATACCCACATTCAGGGGGTCTGGATCAGTCCCATGCTGGTTTCCCAGCTATCAGTCTGGGGACCAAGACCAGGTCAGCTGTTTTGGAGTAGTGGGGTTTTCTTTTTCACTTCCCCTGTTTTAATTTCCTGTTGACAAATAAAGAGACATTTCTGTGATCATTGCCAAGCCATACTCTTGGCCTGGAGGCTTACACCACACCACTGTGGCTCCCTGGCTCTGGTGTGGGGGTGGAATGAGAGGGTACAAAAAGGAGGTGTAGGACATTAGGGTTCTGGGTGGTTAGGACCCCATTGGCTCTTCTCAGAGCAGGGATGGCTCCCATAGCAGGACCTGTGTGAGAAGAGCTCTGCTTCAGGCCAGCCCTAGAGGCATTGCCCTCAAGGAGGCACAAGGCCAGTCTGGCCTGCCTGAGAAATGGAGGTGTGCTGTCCATTGAAGGTGTCGTGGATATGCGTGGAAGTGCCTTCCTGCCTTAAAACCTCAGGAATTCAATTCTAAAAAAGGAAATCAGTCACTGTGAAAATGTCACTGATGAGCAGTTTATTTCTAACCATGGCCCATGGTGATGAGAAAGCTCCTGCCTCAGTGTGCCCTTTTCTAGCAATAAGTGCTGTCTCTTGTCGTCCCCCATTCCAGTGAGATAGACACATGTATGAATTATCCTGGGACATACCTGTCAGAGACCTCAGGGTTTGCTGACTGGGTTACCTTCATAGAAGCAGGAAGAAGCCTGGCTGCAGCTCTTCAAAGGCCTCTCAGCACTGGCTGGTTTTGCTCCTCAGTCACAGTGTACCCACAGGAGAGATGAGCTGTCCTTCAGAGAGAAATTGGGGTGTTGCCCCAGTCTCTAGTCATTCAGTCATTCTGTAGCAGGCAGGCAGCTCTCACTAGTGACTCAGTCACCTGGACTCTTTAGACCACCCACAGAAAGAGGCTGCATAGTGGGGCGGAGACTGGACAAGAGGAGTATGGTGTCTGTCTATAGCAAGTGGGTCCATGTGTCATATCTGCCTGGTTACTGATGTGTGTGTGTGTGTGTATCCCAAATTCTATTCTATTTCATCCAGTCTGATAGCTCAAGTGTATTTGTTTCTATTGTCATTTATTGTAGAAAAGTTTCATCTTAGCTAAATCACTTGGAGGGCCCTAAAATGGTTTTTTCCTTGCTAGGATTTTTATCTCTGATTTTGTCTTTATGAATGAAGTCAAGGATACACTTCTGTTGTCACTCCATTACACTTGTTGGCTTTGAGTGTTCAGTATTTCCTGCTTTACTGTTTGGGTCTGGTACCAGAGTAGGCTCGAGGGTCATAGAGTATTGGGGTTTTCTTACACGTTTGCTTCTGGTCACTAGATTGTTCATAGGTAAATGTGCACATCCATACCTATGAATTCGTGGAAAGGGCAAAACCAGCTCCCTGATTCTCTGTCAGCTCAGCTGTCTGAGGACTGACCTAGACTGCCCAGCCCTGATACTTCCTCATGAGTGTGGTGCTAGAATACACTTACACAATGCTAACACACCAGATTTACCTTCTATTAGTAATGTGCCTATGTCTAGTTGATGTATGTTGAAAGAAAATGGAGTTGATAAATATTTAAATAACCAATCACCTTCCTTATCTGTTTTTTCTCTAGGAAGTTAACAGCTGCCGAGACACCCTGGATTATTGGACGATACATGGACTATGGCAAGCATCTAATGCAGTAAAAGCCAAAGAAATAGTTGGGGAAAAAGCTAGCTTGAGTCTAGTTACCATAATTAGACATGTTTACTCTTGTTAGATGTTTATTCAGCTGACCAGATTCTTATATATGTAGATACACACACTTTTATCTTATGTGTGTATGAATGTTTTACCTTTATGTATGTCTGTGAACCATGTGTGTTCTCAGTATGTGAGGAGGCCAGAAGTGGACATTATCCCTGGAGTTACAGGCAGCTGTGAGCCACCATGTGGGTGCTAGAATTGAACACAGGTTCTCTGGAAGAGCAGCCAGTGCTCTTTACTGAGCCAGCCTCCTAATTCATAATTATAAGTTATGATAGATAATTTACCTATTACCAAAATAAACAAACATCCTGGTTCCTCTCTTCGTTCTTGGGGACTATCATAAATAAATATTTAAAACTAAAAACGTTAGAGCAGTAGATAAATAGACAAATCATCAGTTTTACACACTTTACAAGAAGGTAACTCCTCCCACCATGTTTGTCTGCCTTCTTTTTAGTTAGTTCTTTCTCTGTGCACACACTTGTGGTATTGAAGTGTGCATATTAGTTTGCCATCTGTAGAGTGGACATGGCCCCCATCCACTTAGGGTTCTCTGCTTGGAAAGAGCTGTTTGCTCTTTTTCATCTACAGACAGTCCAGCTTGTCTATCTGAAAGTCAAACTGATGGTTTGCCCGGGACCATTCTTTGCTGAAGGGCCTGGGTGGGGTAGGGAGTTCCTGATTAGTTCAGACTTTAAGGAAAGCACTTTCTAGTGTCATAGTGCCAGGTAGGAGGCTTCCTCACTAAGACTAATATCTGTTCTTTTTCTTAAAATTTGGATTTCAAGGCCTGATAGAGCAGAAGACTGTAACCAGTCCTGGCACTTTAACTTAGATGAGATTAAGGTATTCATCTTTTTATTATGCTTCTATTGCAAATAGAATGTTGAACTAAATGAAATCATTCCTCAAAAGTCTACCTTCAAAGTCCTGTTTAAAATTACAGGGTCAGAAATGAATCCACTAGGCCTGAGCTCCTCGGTCTGTGCTGTAATTACTGCAATTACAATAGCCCCATAAATGCAAAAAGAAGAAAGAAGTCCACTTTTCTCCTCCATGTCTTAGGTCTGAGTGTCTGTTAGAAGCAAGTTCAGGTGTCAGCAGGGCCTGTCCAGTCTGCACTGACCCTTATGTCTATATGCCACCCCTAGCAAGTGCTTAGCCCTGGGGCTTCTGGGTCAGTGAGTGTAAGTGGGCCCTTGGTCTGTGTAGTAAGGGTTAAACACTTCCAGACCCCTGTGGCTTGGAGAGTAGAGACATGTGGTACCCAAGGCTGGTCATTCTGGCCATAGGTGGTACAGGTTTCTAAGGAGGAACTCTGAACAAGGAGGAATTGATAGGCCCCTTCAGCATCAAAATTCCTGCTACAGGTAGATGTTAGGATTCTAAGTCAGGAGTAAGTTGTGAGCTTATGAGAGATTTTAACAGAAGTACTCCTGAGGTGTATATTGAACTACTCCTACACGTTCCCCTTTCCTTAAGGGACACAGACAACTTCTGTGTTTGGTCATCCGTCAGGGTGCCAGGGGTAGCATAGAGGACGTGGCAGGCCCGACAGGTGAATGTAAAGAGCCAAACATTTTGTTGTTGGGTGACAGAAATAATTGTCCTTTACTGAGCTCTGACTATGCATACACTACAGCTGTCATCTAAGCTGTCATTGAGTAGTTACTGTGCTGTCAGTCCTTCCTACACTTTGGGGAGGGCAATGGAAGTTGGTCAGTGGAATATAAAAACTGCACAGACAACTCCAAGCTTCCCTGGTTTCTTAAGAATCCAGATGCCAAGTCTGTCTGTGTCAGGCCAGGTCCTCCAGGAAACAGATGTTGAGGTAAAAGTAGACTGAGGCTGACTGTAGCTAACTGTAACTTATTAAAAGTACATTGGGGTCTGGAGAGATGGCTCAGTGGTTAAGAGCACTGGGTGCTCTTCCAAAGGACCCTGGTTCAATTCCCAGCACAGCACACACATGACAGCTCAAACCTATGTCTAAGTCTAGTTCCAGGGCTTCCTGACATCCTCACACAGACATACATGCAGGCAAAACACAAACATAAAATAAAAATATATCATATGTTTAAAAAAGCTTATTTTTCTTAAAAACCAAAGCAGTTTCTGTAGAGATTATAAAAAGTTGCCAGTGCCCACGATATTGCAAACCATCACATCCAGGTACTAGGCCAAGTTTTCAGTTAGCAACAGTTGAAGCTTGGATGAACCTCATTGGAAAAGACATTGTTACTGCACAGAACTTGAACCCAGCATTTACAAGGTGATAGAAAAGGCACCAGTGAAAATGAGGCCAGGAGAAAGGAGGTTTAAGTAGTTCCAGTGGGTTAGTGATCCCTCGAGGGAGATCCAAAACAGCAGGCTGAGTTGCCTTTTGTCGGCGTTGGGCCAGTGGGTCTGTGGTAGCCAGGCTCTACTGTTTCTCATTCAGAAAGTCGTGGTTTACCTGTGTAGTGTTAATGCCTGATGTAGTGTTTCCAAAAGAGAGTGCCCAGTTTGGCTGTAAGTTACATCATCATCCTAGGCTATCCCCAGAGGTCTCACTGGGGCTGAAGCCAGGTTGAGGGATCTCATGTGTCTCAAGATTTGCCCTTTTCCAGAAGGTCGTATGGTTGGAGTTGTGCTGTACATGGCTGGCTCTTTTTCTAGACTACTGCTTTTACTCATTGCAGTAGATTTAAAGTTCCTCATGTATTTTTGTGGCTTCAGAGGCTCATTTCTTCATCAGTTTATCATTCTCTTTATTTTACTTTATTGGCTTTTGTTTTTTTCAAGACAGGTTTATCTGTGTAGCCCTGGCTGTCCTGGAACTTGCTCTGTTGACCATACTGGCCTTGAACTCACAGAGATCCTCTTGTCTCTGCCTCCCAAGTGCTGGGATTAAAGGCATGCATCACCACCTCCTGGCCTAATCATTCACCTGTAAGAGTTTGTATGTTTTCACATGTAGCTACGATAACATGCTTCACGAATAAGCAGCACAGATCAGACCTTTTGTTTAGTATGTTAGCTTGTTAAATTTGCTTAAAAGTTTGAGTGTGTTAGGTTCTGGGTAAAATTTTAATTAAATTACATGTAGGACCTTTTGCGAGACATGAAGATCTACTGGCCCGATGTAATTCACCCATCTTCCAATCGCAGCCGATTCTGGTGAGTCTGAGTGTTTGATGGTTATATGCATTTTTAACATAGGGGTGAAGAATTTCTGAGGGTGCTCTGGATGGCAGCTTGTGGGAGGCACAGAGAACAAGTAGGTGAGAGACTGTCTCTAGAGGCCGAGCGCTGCCTTTTGTTAAGAAATGGTTCTGGTATGTACCTTTGAGTGTCTCTCTCCAGTGGGTTAAGATGGATGGGGTAAGGTGGGATTTATGTTATGAACTTGTTTTCTAGTCTATTGTTATTTCACCCATTACTTCATTTAAAAAGTCCTGTCTCCTAAAATTTAATGAGTCAGATGCTTGCATATTTAAAAATCAATCCAAATCAGACATACACACACACACAGCATGCCTTAAAGATAGTGATCTCATGGTGATCTGGTCAGAGATGAGGTGAGAAACTCTACAGGGACAGTCTTCTTCCAGGTCAGCAGGAGCGGAGCCTGAAATTAACCCAGTTGTTTGAAAAGCATTGTGTTTTTAAAGGAAGATAAAATTGATTCAACTGAAGGTGCTTTTTTCCCCCTACATCTTCTTTCAATGTGAAAATTTATAATTCTTATTACAGCTAATAATATCTTTCCAGATATCTTAATTTAACCTAGAAATATTTGTGTGTAGAATTTTTAGGGGAATAAAAGTTTAAGTTTGGTAAAATGCTTTAAAGCAGTGGAATATAAATGATGCCCCTTCCTGTATCACAGTGTTGAGCATGACTTTTGCTTGAGGGCATGCTATTTTAGGATTTGTGGAATCACCCTTAGATAATCAGAACATTCAGGGAAAGCTTGAGTGATGAATAGCTTACTAGATTGAATCTAGGTTTTCCCCACACTGGATGCTTTCCCACTGAGCTAGACTCCCAGTCTTGTTATTTCTGAGGAAGCTGCTCACTAAATTGCTCAGGGTAGCCTTGAACTCACTTTGCACCCCAGACAAGCCTGGAACTTGTCTTTCATAGCCTGCATTCTAGAAAGTACTTCAACTTAATTAATGGCTATAATGAATTGAAGTGAGTGAAAATGAAGTCTTTACTTCAGGCTTCAAGGAGAATACCTATGTGAGTGGTGTTAATTATTGGAGGCTGACAGGGAATGGGCTCATGATGACAAGGCACCCACGTCCTGTTTGGTCCTTATGGAGAATCATGCATGGATTGTGTCACTCTCTGGAGTTCCCTGGCTTATACGTTAGCTCTACAGAGGACCACACATTGCTGTGTAACTCAGCAGGTGTCACAATAGTGACATTTTCTTCTTTCTCAGTTAATTTGTTATTATTTGAGTATGTTGAGGTTTCTTTCTTTCTTTCTTTTTTTTTTTTTTCTGAGAGAGGGTTTCTCTGTGTAACAATCCTAGCTGTCCTAGAACTCACTTTGTAGACCAGGCTGGCCTTGAACTCAGGGATCCACCTGCTTCTGCCTCCCGAATGCTGGGATTAAAGGAGAGTGCTGCTATCACCTGGAGTATGTTGTGATTGTAGAGATACCCTGGAATGGTTTATGATGTAAAACATGAGAAGAGTGAGCAGTGCTCTTTGGAGATTGTTGCATGTTGCTGGGGCCTTGGTCTTGAGCACAGGGTATCTGTCCTCCCTGCTTTGTGAAGGCAGTGACAGCTCTGGTCTAGAGGACTCATCTGAGCATTCTTACACAGGAAACATGAATGGGATAAGCATGGGACGTGCGCTGCCCAGGTGGATGCCCTCAATTCTGAGAAGAAGTACTTTGGGAAGAGCCTGGATCTGTACAAGCAGCTTGACCTCAACAGGTGTGTGCACATCTCACTGTAGGCTTTCTGCCATTGACCCAAGGTCAGCCACTGGGAATGACTGTAGAACACTTCTGCTGACAACCTGTGTGCTATGGTCCCCAAAAGTGGTGTGGTGGGCTCATTCCTGGGAAGAAATTGAGCCTTTGACAAATCTTTGATCATTCTAGTTCATGACCCATGACCACAGAGTGCACAGGCTTAGGCTGCCTCATGGCGCTGACTCATGGTTAATGAATCAGCCCCTAGGAAGTGAGACTGATAGGCATGCTGCAACCTCTGAAAAAGTTGCTGCCCTAAGATCATCTCCCTAGAGACACTGAGCATTAGCAGAGCTTTGTGTCTGGTTGTAGTGCCCCTTGAACAAGTGTGAGGTGGAGGGCAAGGGCCCTTTAAGGCCTAGAAATGAGCCAAACCCATGTAGATTTTTACTGCTTGTCCTGACCTCAGTTCTGGACTTGGGGGATATATCATCAAGGGGAACATATCATCACCACATGATGGTGGTGAATATGTAAGAACAACATGCTCTGTTGTGCCAGGTGTATTAAATGCTTCTTATTTATTGCTTGAACTTGTTATTTATTAGTTATCGTGTGTGTGTGTGTGTGTGTGTGTGTGTGTGTGTGTGTGTGTGTGTGTGTGTGCGCGCGCGCGAGCACACTCTCGCGTGTGAGCTTGTTAACACCCCCTCACCCCATGTAAGGATACAGAAATACAGACTATGAGGAACGAGAGATCACCAGATACCAGTACTTTGCTCTTAAGATTCCCCAGCCTCTAGACATGTGAGGACTAAATGTCTGCTGATAATGAGGGATTTTCACAGCATCTGCACACTGCTTGTCATTTGCACAGCTTGTTCTAGTCAGAGCAGTTTTTCTTCAGATGAGAATAACCCCAAGATCCTTTGCTCATCAATCACATTTAAGGTTCATGAATTAGATCTGCTTTAGAAGATGAATAAACCTCGATTGGTTCTCTACACGCATGCTTTGCCTCTTTAGCACAAAAAGCACTTATGATGATGTGTCACCATCTCACACAGATAGTTTCCAGTGCCATTTTGCTCAGAAACAGCTGGGGTTTGAAGCAATTGATCTGGCAATAGAAGAGGGAGGGGCAGGAGAGATGAGGTAACCAATAAATACCCTGAGAAGGCCTTGAAGCCACCAGCCAACAAAACAAGGGCTGAAGACCTTGTGATCCTTTCTGATATAAGTCGTATGATTTGGCTATAAGACCTCTTTAGATCTTATCCCCATGATACAAAAAGAATAGTTGGGCAGTGCTCAGATTTTGAAGTTCCTTTTGTCTTTTAAAATTTTGCCTTATTAGGCTGGGTATAGTGGCATATATGCCTTTCGTCCCAGCACTTTGGAGGCAAAGGCAGGTGGATCTCTGTAAGGTTGAGGCCAGCTTGCTCTGCATAGCAAATTCCAGGACAACCAGTGCTCCACTGTGAGATCCTGTCTCAAAACAAAGTAAAACATTCAAATGTCTGTATTAATTAGTACTTGCACTAGGAGTTACATACCAGGGACTGTAACAGACCCTCAGCATCGTGAGTTCTGTATATAGTTTATTTAACCTGTGGGGTTTTCTGAGAAGACAGTGTCTCTTACAGTAAATCTTGACCCCCGAAGTGTAGGTTTTTCAGAAACCTGCTAGGCACTTAGAAGCTACTGTGAGGAACCCTCAACAAGGCCCATCAGGTACTTCTGGAGCACAGGAAGGCAGCAGTTAAAAAGAGGCTGACCTTCCAGAAAGGCTGACAGACAGACCCACAGGGTGCATCCCCTGGTGAGAGTGGGCCCAGCCTGGTAGCCACACACTGTGGTATGAATTGAGGCTAATTCATGTAACAAATAGGAGAAGAATAACTATTGTTTTTTTTTTAATTCTGTACTCCATTTTATTTATTTATTGCTTTTTTAAAAAATTTAAATTAGAAACAATCTTGTTTTACTTGTCAATCCCAGTTCCCGTTCCCTTCCATCCTCCCATTGTTATGAGCTGAAATTAACCAGAGTAACTCGGTAGCTCCTGTCTGCAGCCTTTGAACCTTCGTAGTTTCTTGTTAGAGACTCATACATCACTTTTACCCTTGGAAGGCTGCTGCAGTCCAGCTACTGCCACTCAGCTGGCTGTCAGCAAGTGAGCCCAGAGGCCTGCTAACTGGAAGGCACCCCCAGGTGGGTAGTGCTTGCTTCCAGATAACAAAGAACAGTTGGGAAGAATGATGACTCTCCCAACCCCTCCAAGACAAATGGAGAATCCCATCTGTTTCATAAGATAGAAACAAGGTATCAAACTGTAAATCATGCTCACACACTTCTTAGTGTAAAGGAGGCCAGTCTGTGGTTGCAGAGTCCCCTGGGGCGGTTCTCAGAGTACCCACAAGTGCAGACATGGCTAGCACCCAGCTGTCTTCATTTGGAAGAGGACATGACATAACTTGCCCATTTTTCTCTTCTCTTTATTTCTTGGGCCACCTGCATCAGGTGAAACAGTATGTGATCACAGATGCTCAGCGACATTTTCCAGTAATGCTATTAAAAAACAGCAGTAAAAATATCTGGTCAAAAATTATAATAACATGTTAAGCTCAGTTTATCCAAGGCACTAAAGTTTAACTTATAATAAATATTGCTTTAAAGTTGGAATATTTTATACTTTCTAGGAACCCCGTATTGTTCATATACTGACAGCCAGGTCAGGCAGTGGCACACTTAGGTGGATGTGGGGGGCATTTCTGGGGTTTCAGGGACGTTTTCTGCTTGTCCTTGCTGCCACAGACTGATGGCAAGGAGAGAGAAAGACATGCAGCCTCAAACCTACTTTGGGTCACAAACCTGAACTATACAGGAATCTGTGGTGGGACCACAGAGAATTCCTTTCGAGTGAGTGGTCTAGGGACTTTTACATTGTTCCTCTAGTACTTAAGCTTATTACGAGTAACTGATAGGGTTCTAGGTTATATGTATCTTAATTCCTTGAAGATCTGACCAGCACTGCTCTTCAGGATGAGCCTGGAGTCACATGAGACAGGCTAAGCTATCTTGCAGAGCCCATGTGGCCAGGAGCTTGCACAGGGTATGTTGCCTTGGATGGGGTGTGTGAAGTGGTACTGCTGTGCAGCTTCAGATCCTAGGAAGTGCCCTGTGGGTAGTGTGTGCCCGGGGCCGGAAAAGAAGGGGCTGGGAGCTGCCTCTCTGCTGTTCTTTTTAATGGATTTATTGCTGGAAGTCATAAAGACACTCTCTTTTAAAAGAGTCTTAATTTTCACTCTGAGATCCAATGAAAAGAACAAAGTGCAATGAATGTACGGTCATAATGCAGCTAATTTTTAAATTTTATTTTAGTGTACTGCTAAAATTTGGGATCAAGCCATCTATCAATTACTACCAGGTGAGTCTTACCTTTATCCCTTTGCCTAGTGTCTAGTGTTTGTCACTGGAGACATTTGGCAGGGTCCATTCATCTTCTGAGCTGCACTTGGGTTTTAAAGTCATTTAGCACCAACTACTTGAAATGGGTTCCCTGAGTTATTGGTGTTTGCATTTGAACACATGCTGAAGGCTGCTTAGGCCACTGACTTGGAGGTATAGAGCCACGGTTCTGCCAAGCAGTAGTCCTCCAGGCTCAGCACAGGGTGGAGCGTGAGTTTGAAAAGGTACATTCATGGTGTTTGAAGGGAAACAAACTGACTTTTTGTTTTTCATGTACATCCCATAACACAGGAAATAATGTCACATCTTGTTGACTAAGAAGGGCATGTTCAGTGTAGATGCTTTCAATTCTGGTTTTTGTGTTTGCCATAGAGAGATGCCACGCAGAAGCTTAAAATATGGGCTCATGGGAGAGGTTTGTAGATGGTTGCTTTAGAGTGATTCTCTGAGGTGGTTTTTGTGCTCATTATAAGGTGTGGCTTTAAAAACATCTCAAGAGGAGCCATTGTGGGACAGGGATGGACTTAGCAGTCACTCACTCTGCCCTGTTGATAGTGTGTGATGTAACCTGCCAGCTTTATCTGTAGGACTGTGTGCTCCTTTTCCCAGTTGATATGTATTTCCATCGGACAGTAGGGAGTTGGAGCCCGGGCTTGAGGATGAAGCTTTAGCTGCCAATTTAATTAGAACCCTCTGGAAAGCCACAGGATGAGGGTTTGTAGGGCTTCCCCAAGTCACCTAGACTCTTGCTTAAGCTGATGGGGAGGAGAGGTGTTTATAGTTTCACCTGGCTTGATGTTCAGAGATGGTATCCATGGTGACGGGAATGGCAAGGACAACCTGCTGCTGAGCTGCCTCATGTACTTGGTAAGGTGGCAGGAATAACAGACATCGACTTGGAAAACTGATCCAAAAGTGTCTGACATATCAGCAGGCTTTCAGCTTTGCACCCAGCATCTAAGCCTGTGTCTGCTCATTTGGTCTATGGTATGTTGGTGCTGCTGGACCCCTGGGAGGAACTGGTGACCAGGCATTTCCCAGGAACTGGCAGATGGAGTGCAGTTCATGGCTTGTGTGGTAGGGAGAACAGCCATAGCTGGAGGATGAGAGCCATGTCTCTTTGAAGACCCAGAGTGGAGGGTGTGTGGCATGGGCACTGGGGCGGTAAGAGCCATGTCATGCTGTGAGACACAGGCAGCACAGGGAAGTTCCTAATGAAGCTGTGGTTGCCTGGTGCTAGAGACCAAGGGCAAAGAGAGAGATTACCTTTAGGGAGGGCCAAAGCTGAGCCATGGGGTCTCTGCTGGACTTGGCTTGTGTAGGGCAGGCCCTGGCCTCTGTGGGACTCAGTAAGGGGAAGGGATAGATGTCACTAGACAGTGTGAATCTGAGGGTCAGAAGAGGCACTAGAGGGGGATAGAAGCGCCCTGTAAAACAAGTGCTGCCAAAGTCCATGGCAGAGAGGACAGGTAGATGTGGGTAGAGAAGCATCTGTTGTAGAAGCCACAGCACAGAGACTGAGCATTGCAGATGTCCTCCTGGAAGGAGAGGAGAGGAGGAGGGTGCTCTAGAGTAGAGAGTGATCGGGGAGGAGGGTGCTCACCCTGTGGTGGAGGAGTTTGCAGCACACATGGTCTAATTTTGTAGTTCACCGACAGGAGGTGGGTGCTCTGAGGGCCCACTTGTTTTTCTGTGATGGAGGCTGTGCCCCCTGCAGGGAAGGGAGGCTGCAATGGGGAAGGCTAGAGGAGTGGGAAGGCCTTGGGAAAAGCTTTGGGGGTTCCAACAGTCAGTTGGCAAGGGTGACTTTAGGCAAGGTAGTGTAGAAGAGAGAGGCTAGGCTGGGCTGGGCTGGGGACAGGGAAGAGTCAAGGTGCCCAGTCGGGAGGAAGGGGGTAGAGCCCAGGTTGATAAGTTGGTCATGATCTGCCCTGCAGTGATAGATCCAGGACAGCCTCAAGCTCTACTCCAGGTCCTCTGTGTGAGGGTGCTCTTTAAAAGAGAAAACCAGGGAGTGTGTGAGAATCCTCCTGCTGAAGTTCATTGCTAATGCTTTCATTTAATATCAGCTTGCAGATTTCAGAGATGCCCTCACCAGAATCTATGGCGTGGTGCCTAAAATCCAGTGCCTTCTGCCAGAACAGGTCAGACTTGCGTTCTGCCACGTTATCTGTCTCTGTGGAAAGATTATTTTACTTCCTGATACTTTTGTCTCCAATGTGGAGTTTCTGGGACAGAGTTGCATTTGGGTGTCTTTTTTTTGTGTGTATTTGTATACAGGCAAGTGTATGGAAAAGCTTCTAAAATTCCTTCCTTGGGGAAGACAGAAACAACATCTGCTTTCCCTCTTAAGGTCTCAACAGCACACTAAGGCATGATTCCACCAAAGTTCACCCGGGGAAACCATGAGTATTGAACTTAGTTACAGAACATAGGTGTGGGGTTACCTACTGGGGCATGGGTGGGTGGGTGCTACTCTGCTAAAAGACCACACCAGAATGTCTTTACCCAGCAGCAGTGAGGGCTTTTCCATAGCCACATAGATGGAGCCTCTTCTAGTCTTCTCCAGCTTATATATTCAAGCCAGAGACCACATGCAGTTAGTTGCCTACAACAGGAGATGGGAAGCAGCTGTATATGCAGGTGAGGGTCACATGACTCCCACCCCTCTATGAAGGCCTGTAAACATTAAGGAGTCCAGATGGGATGATCTTTTGCAATCGGCACAGCCGAAACCACCAAGATGGAAGCTGTTTGCTCAAAGACTAGTTTTGGGCAGCACTATAGGCTTTGATTTTACATCACTTCATTCTAGTGAGAATATCTTGTTGTAAGAGGAAAGGGAGGAGGGAGGGGAAGGAAGAGGGAGGAGTGGGGAAAGGGAGGAGGGAAGGGGAGGGAGAGGGAGGAGAAGAGGTATAATTAAACATTTGTAAATTTCTAAGATTTTTTTTGTTAGGTTTTGCTTTCTCTGTTCATTTATTTGTTTTTGAGAAAGGGTGTCTCTGTTATGTAACTGACTGTCCTGGCACTGGCTCTATGGACCAGCCTGGCCTCCACCTTACAGAGATCCACCTGTCTCTCAGGGTGCCACCACACCTGGTAGTTTCTAAGCGCTTACATTGCCACTCTTAATTACTTTAATTGCATTTTTTTCAGCTTATCAATAAAATTGAGATTCTTTTGGCTGCCAGGTTCTATTATCTTGACATTTACTTTGCCAGAGTCCCCATGTGTGCTATGGACACTTTTTTTTTTTGTCTTCCAAGCTGAAAACACCTCCTCAGCCTAAGCTTTCAGGCTAGGAGAGGTGAGCCCTCCCTAGATGACTGTGAGGAACAAACTTCCACTTGTCACCCCCCACCCTCAGCATCAGCCCTCCTCTGTTGAAAGGGACCTTTGCTCAGAGTCTCTGACCTGGAGCCACTGCTTTTGTTGTTTTTAAGTGCTGAAGTGTTGTGGTCCCCAGATTGATAATGACCCATGGTTCCTGAAGTCTGAAATGTCTGCCGTGTTCTATTTTCAGGGGGAGGAGGTACAAACTGTTGGCCAGATAGAGTTATGCTTCACCAAGGAGGACTTTCATCTGCGAAACTGCACTGAGCCAGGTGAGCAGCTGTCCTCCAAGCAGGAAGCCCAGCTGGCCACAGGGGCTTCCACACATGGGATGATGGTCTGTGAAGATGGTCCAATCTTCTATCCTCCACCTGCAAAGACCCGACACTGATGCTCACATTTTGAAAATATTTTATGTTCCACAAAGTAAGAAAAAAATCACAAATTATGGCTTTCTAAAAATCTGCTCAAAAGTTTCTTAAAATGTGTTTGGCTTTTTTTTTTCTTGTGTGTTAATTGGTTGGTTTTTGTTCAGTCTAATTAGCAGGTGCTCCTATGCTCTTCCTGTCAGCTGCCAACAAACAGCTGCTGTCAGGCCTATTTCCTGTCCAAAAGTGGCTAGATTCACACTGGTAATAAGGACGTGAAAGTCTCAGCACAGCAATTTCTTTATTTTGGTCAAGTTTAAATTATCCCATTTCTTTTTTTAAAATTTAAAAAAGTTTATTATTATTATTATTAGTGTGTGTGTGTGTGTGTGTGTGTGTGTGTGTGTGTGTGTGTGTGTGTGTAAAGGTCAGAGGACACATTTTGGGAATCATTTTCTCCAGCCTAAGTTTTGGGTGTCAGACCCAGCTCATCATGCTGCAGTGAAATAACACTCCCCAGTGAGAATTCACTCTGCACTCTCAGTGAATAAGGACAAAGGACATGCTTCATAAGGATAAAATAAGGACACTTTATTAAAGTGTGTGTCTGGCCTGGCATCCTGGCTAGTGATGAAAGCAGAAATACTTGACAGTTTATACAGATGTTGGGCTATACAATGGCACAGACATTGCCACCTGTAAATCTTCTTTAGGTCCCTGCCCTGAGTTCATTTTGAGCAATTAAACATGTTTTATAGAGACAGACACTTTAAGTTTTGTCATTTTGGTGGGACAGTAGATTTACACAGCAAGGATACTGTCACAATTATTTTGTAATAGATTAATGTTGCTCTTTTCAATAGTTGTTACCAGGGTCATCTGCCTATCTGGCAGATTTATGTTCTTCTTGGTAAGAGGGCCAGGAATTTATGGGCAGCTGTTTTCCTGCCACCCGCTTTGAACTAAATGGTAAAGGTGTTTTCTTTTGATAGTGAATAGGGCCTGATGACCTGCTGTGTGCCAGGGTCATCCTTTTTGTTATGGGAATAGGGACTAGTGGGAGGTAGCAATCTTAGTGAGCAAATCTCAGCAGAAACATTCTCAGCAAACCTAAACTTCAGTTGTGTTAGAGATGCGATTTCTACAGTTTCTAACAAGTGTGGCTAGTACGCCACTTACCTTTGAGTTATATTAGAGGCAGCACTCCTTTAGCTAGGTTCTGCTTTTTATATATTTCCTGAGCAAGTTTAATGGTAAGTCCCTTCTAACATCAGCTCTCAGTCTTTATCCATCAGACTTGTGCAGCAAGCACTTTTCCCACTCAGCCATTGCACTGGCCCCATCCATCCTGATTATGTAACAATTAGACAGTAGGTGCAGGTATAATGTTAAAACATTTTAAATTGCTTATCCTCAGGACAACTGTTTTCAAAAACAGTATCATTAAAAACTGCTGTGCTGGTTGACGTGAAGGGGTTGTTTAGAAGATGGTTTCAAGAGGAGGCTGTATTGTCTCTCCTCTTTGCATCTGTGCTTATTTTCATGTTCTTGGAGGAGCAAGGGAAGCAGGGCTTGCAGTATTCTTCAGACTTTATCTTAGTCTTCTTTTGTTTTAAAACAAGCCATCATTCTTTAAGATGGGCCATATTTGTAATTCTAGTCTGAATATTTCTGAAGAGCAGCCTGGATTCAGATCAGCTGGCATGATGGAAAGTGTGGGCTGTGGACTGAAAAGGGTCGTGTAAAATGAGAGTGCTAGAGTCCTATGGTCCCCATGCAGGATAAACACAGTGAGAGCCTGCTGGAAGCACAGCAGTTCTCAGCCCCTGTCACCTGACCAGTGCTCTGACTTTCAGTTCCTATTTGTGTTCTGGCTTACTGCACAGCAGCAGGTAGTAAATTAAGTTTTCAACAGCCTTGGCCACATCAGGTAAGTGTGTGGGCTTTGATGAGCTGGGGGAGACATGGAAAGGCCAGTCCCAAATACTGGTTTTCAAAGTCAACAGACATGAGCATTTTTCAAATTTAGCTCACATCACCTTTTTCTCCCTGTAAACTTGACAGGGATGTTTAAGGCGGACCTGCAGGTGGGTGGGAACTGGCGTTAGGGGTGAGTTGCACATACACTGTCTGAGCTTGGGACCAGCCCGTCCTATGGGGTATGGAATGGAGAGATGGTCCTTTTGCCTGGAGCACTGGGGAAAGGAAAACCATGAAGCTGGGCCTGGAAAGATGGCCGGAGTTAAAGGTAAGAGAGTAGAAAGACACCGAAGGGAGCAGACACATGGAGACTGTCTCAGAGACCAGCTTCTGCCCACAATTATGCTGCCTCTTGCCTTGCTTGGTGCGTGTAGATCCTACCCAGGATGCTCTGCCCAGCCCTGGAGCAGTGCCTGCCATTCAAGAAGCTTCGTGGTATGGGATGAGTGATCACCATTAGCCCTTACATCCTTCTCAGAGCTGGCGTTTGATGGCTTTCCACACTGATCATTTGGACATCACACCCACTCTTTTGGAAAGGACTCCAAACAGTTTCACCTTGATCGTGAAAAGCATTGCATTGCATTTTGCTTCTATTTATCAACTTAGTTCAGTGCCTCAGTTTCTGAAATCTGTCTGCTGCAAATGCCACTTTGGACATCCGTCCACTGCAAACACACTCTGGACCATTGTCCACTGCAGACGCCACTCTGGACATCTGTCCACTGCAAACGCCACTCTGGACCTCTGTCTACTGTAAACACCACTCTGGATATCTGTCCACTTCAAACACCATTCTGGACATCTGTCCACTGCAAACACCACTCTGGACCTCTGTGCACTGCAAGAGGATGGGTCTTTGGCTCACAGTTCACTGCTTTCTACGGGGCCCATTGATGCACACCAAGGTCAATCCTGAATGTACCTTCTTTCCATGGATGGCCTGGGGCACACTTGCTCCAGTAAATGGGAAATTCCCACTGACCAGTTGAACTTGGGATGAGGTCCAGCAGATGGAAAGAATTTTCCCATTGAAGTACATGAATGAGTGTTCATTTTAGATTTCTTTCAACCTCCGTATTTTTTCCAAAGTTATGTAAATATCACGTCCCTCATCAAACTCTGTATTCATTTCCTAGTAAGTCAGTGGACTCAGGCGTCCTATTTTATTCTATGAGTTAAGATCCATTATTTTCATGATTGTTCCAGTGGGAGTCTCCAGCTGGTGTCTGTGTCTGCTTCTTATGTGTTCCCTCTTTCCAGGGAGACAAGCACTGTTCTTTACACACATTCATGTCTGAATTGACCTGCATATTCGGCAAACCACAAGTTCATGCCAGTTCCACAGGGATTATTACAACCATTTCCCTTTCCATCTCAGCACCTGTTTTTTTTATTAGTAAACTGCTTCTAGTCCCCTTGGTGTCTGTTTATTTGCTGGATCCAGCACTTGGAGATGAGCTCCTGCTTGCTTCCTCTGCCTCACCATGTAGATGAGAGTGCTCTGGTTCTCCACACTGAGCTGTTTTCATCCTTCACCATCCTGGTCCTTAACTCACCTGTAAAGTTCATCCTGTGCATCCCCACACACTAAAACTCTGGCAGATGTAAAATGCAAGCAGTGGCATCAGAGAGCACAGTGCATGTGTAGCAATACTAGACAGGCTCCAGGAGCTCACACTCAGCTGAACATTTGTCCCGACACCCTGCCGTAAGGTTCTGCAGAGGGCTGAATGCAGGAAGATTGCATTGGACATTTCTTTACTCCCAGGTAGATGGACTCCAGGGTGGAGTTAACATCAAGAATCCCTGGAGTCTGACGAGTGAAGCTGTCACCTCTTCTGCAGAGTTGAAGGGACATTACTCCTTTCTTTTACCATGCTTCAATACCATCTTTTACATAACTTGTTTCTACCTTCTGCATGATGTTCTTAATGTCTCCTGGCCCTCTTGTGCTGCCTAAAACTCCCTAACCCTGTGGAGAGATGGAAACAGCTCTCTAGGCTGCCTCAGGCAGCAGAGCATGGCAGGGCTTGTCAGTGGAACAGGGAGGGTTCAAGGGAAGGCTGAGCAAGCAGGCAGCGTTCCTCTCTCAAGAGCTGGCAAGAGAGAGAGAGATGTCCTTGAGCTGCTGGAGAGATGCTGCTGCTGTGGTGACATCTGTACTTGAGTCTCAGCACAGCACAGTAGAGCTGCACTACTCATCTGTTCAAGCTCTGGGACCTCCTCACTTGTGGGTGGAGTTTGAATCTTCCATTCAGCATGCTCTTCTCCAGTAGGCTCTGTGGTGACCCTCCCTCTTGGAGTTCATATGGTAGGTGGTGTTTGCTTTAGGACCCTCTCCTCTTTGACTTGCTATAGAATTCTGAGGAGCAGATGGAAGAAGCCAAATTTGAGAATGATGGGCAGTTACTACATGGTCAGTATCTGTTGGTTGCCTATGTGCCATGCCTTATTGGCTTTACCCCAAATGAGAAGCCAGTAAAAGAAACCCGATTCCTGTCTCTGGTGAAGCTATGCTATGCATCAGAGGCCTGACAAGACTTTGCCAAGGTACTACCAAGCCAACACCAATCTGACTTCAGCCCCTTAGCCTACCAGAACTTAGATTCTCTCCCTGTGCCATGTCTTCTGTAAGCTATTTGGTGGAACAAGGACAGACACCAACACTAGTCTCCAGCCACAGCCCTTGTCCCCATTTTCTCTCTGATTCTGAGTCATGGCTTTATCCTTTTAGAGTTGCATATTTTTATTGGGACTGATTAAGCAGAAACACAAATTCAGGAAATACCAAACAAATGCATCTGGATGTTTATGTGTCAAGAAAACCCATGACAACTAATAGTGCCTTCAATCATAGGAGCTCATAGGGCCCTTTTAAAATTAGTAATACTAAGTTACCATTTATGAGTCTTGGAAAACAGAGTCTTGGGGGCAGCACAAAGGCCATAGGGGAGACGGGCATTCAGGAAATGAGTATATAAAGTCTCATAGGATCTGTGTAGGTATTAATTTTTAGAAGATGAATTTTGCATGTATACACATACACACGCATATGTGAACACATATAGTGTGGCATGCATGTGGAGGTGAGAGAACACATTTTGGGAGTCAGTTCTCTCACCATGTAGACAACTGGATATTGAACTCA